ATAGACAGCAATTTTGGAATCAATATATCCCGCAGGGTGAAAATGGGCTTTTCACTAAACCAAATAAAAAAATGTTATCGAGGAAATTATCCCGCTTTCCAAGACAATCGAGGAACCATGCCATGCTTTGATCCCTGTCGTCTTGGGCTAGCGAAGATGAAAATGGTACAGTCGTAAATTAAGAGCTGCCATGAGAATGCAGACTGTTGAGGTGTAGGAAAGTCCTAGCTGCAGATCGTCTACGAATAGACGTCTCGTGGGACTCAACTACTGAAATCTGCACCCTGGGGGCTTTTAAAAAGTCTGCGCATGGTGAGTGTTCGACCTGAAATGATCATTTTGGGGGGGGGGGGATTCACTATAGATCTAAACTGACGGAACTTCTCTACTCATGACACAAAAGGTCTTCAGGGCACCTAAGCATTCTTTCCATGCCGTGCGCAGAACTTACAAAATGTCGGGGATGGTGAGTTTATGGAGATGTAATGTTCGATACAAAAAACTCCCTGCTCTTTACTAAACTTAACCATGATCTCAGCAGGCAAAAGAAATTTGGGGAAAAACTATCGGTAGACTACTGTTGACTTGTTAGACTCTGTAGCTTGCAATGTGGCGCTATTGTAGCAACTTTTAGGGGTATGCCTAAAGCAAACGGGTGTGTCATGCTACGAAAATGGGGACAAAGTTGAAAACGCGTTGCTTTTTTTAATGAACCAACAGAGCAAACCCCTCTCATGGACTTATCTAACATGAATATCAGACAAATTCCATTTGGCTTCCAAATGTTATGTTCAAATCAGAAAAGCGAAACGTCAGTATGGAGGAAGATATTTACGAAACAATTTGTACAGTGTTTTTTTATTTTTGGATCACCTTGTATTTCCCAGTGACACAGTGTTTGGCAAGTTCACTTCTGAAAACGTAGTTAAATTCTCGAATTCATATCCTACAAACACTATAGAGTGAAAAGGATCGGACTGCTGTGCTAGTTTGTGGACGTTGAGTTTGAAAAAGGAGAAGCTCCTCGACACAATAATGGTCATATGGTGCAGGGAAGAAGCAAGACATATATATATATATATATATATATATATATATATATATATGTGAGGCAGCGTGGTGGAATCAGGCTCTCGTCAAAATAATCAAAGTGAACAAACTGACATTTTTCCGCCGGTTTGTGAATTTTTATCGAATTTTTGGTTTTTGGCTCAACACCTTTCATGCCCATTAAAGAACACATTTCTGTGTGTATTTTACTGAAAAACGTTGATTGAAGGTACAACATAATTAAATTTTCAGCTGCCACGGACTCTCAAGTTAGGGAATTTTCTCACTAATTTTACCTCTAAAACCATGTGACCCCCATCTCCTTTATTCGCAAATATCTCGACTTGTAATCAGGATAAATGAATAATTTTTTCATCCAAATAAAGACAAGTGAACAAACTTTAAGATGATATCAATAACCCCACATGCTCAAGAATTGACGAGAGCCTGATTCTACCACGTCGTGACACACACACACACATATATATATATGAAGGTATTGAGCAGGTTGGTCAGTTTCTGCATTCTTCATTCATCAAGTACTTCATTTAATTTTGTTTCCAGTGCGATAAGATAAGGTCCACTGATAAGCCTTTAAACATCTCTTAAATGGCTTTTTCTACTTCTTCATCTTTTAGTAACAGTAACATGTGTTTAAAATTCCAACAATTTTTCAATAAGATGATAATTGAATAATACCAAAAGTATTAATTTATCTGTTCTTTTTAGGTTACAAGTCTTTATGAAGAGTATTTTTTGTTTGGTAATAAGATGAATAGATTAGTACAAAAGCTTCAAGCCATCAAACATCAAAATAGGACGGAAAATTATATAGAATACGGGATAAGTGTTCAGCACTCTAAAGCTTTACTATGTCATGTCACAATCAGTAAGTGGACATATTTTCTATATTTTCAAGGAGGAACATCAATCGTGAACACAGAAATGACCGGAAGTCTTCAAACTTAAATTTTCAGTTTTCTTAAAACTTGAAGACAAACGTGACATCTCTGGTTTTCCCCTTGCACCAGTCATATATGTATAACATATATATAGTTTTAGTAAAAGTTTTACGGCACTTGCAACACAATAAGGTCATATAAGTGCCGAAGATTAGAGGTGTTACAGGAGATATAACAAACACAAAAAAGAAGGAGGGGAGATAAAGACGATAGATGTTTGATAGCAAAGAAGAAGCAAATCACACCAGAGTACCCACCAACCACCCACCTATATATTATATATTGACAGAAACAACAAAGGGAATGAAAAGAAACTGGATCTATCAGTGGCGCCCTCTAAACACCTGCCTAGTGTGCTAAGCAGTGGTAACGGAAAGTGGGGTTGAAATAATAGGTGTAGTGTTTTACACGAACACACAGAAGGTTGGGTTTCACTATTATAAAGGAATACACAGTGTGTAAATGAACATGAGTGTAAAAACACAAACCCATGCACATAAATATAAATCACAGGGAAAACAACTGAAATTCAACATATTTATTTGTATTTTGATACTGGTAGCCACAAAGATTTACAAGACACAAAAGGTCTTTATAATAATTGTGTCAAGACGCGGTGCAATCAGGCGCTCGTCACTTTTGGGACATATTGAGTTATTGACGTCATCTTTAAACTTTAAGCTTGCTTCTTTGTGTACATTTTAATGAAAAAAGATACCAATCTATCTGGAATGGAAGTCAAGGTTTTTGCAATTGAAAGAGGCGGGGTCACCTGGTTTCTGCAGTAAAATTAGCGAGAAAATGGCCGCCAAAGTTTGGTGACTTCCATAGCAGCTTCAGAGTCCTTGGAAATTGAAAATGTACATTTTTGTGTGCCTTAATCAACGATTTTTAGAAAAATCAACACATAAATCATAAACGTGTTTTTAAATGAACATGAAAAGTGTTCAGCCAAAAAAAGAAAAATAGAAAAAAATTGCCGAAATGCCTAGAAAAATGCTGGTTTCTTTGATTTTATTATTTAGACGAGCGCCGGATTTCACCACCATGCCTCACAATTAATATATAGTGAGAGAGGGAATGAGAGACAGAATGAGGGAGGGAGAAAGAGAGAGAGAGAGAGAGAGAGAGAAAGAGAGAGAGAGAGAGAGAGAGAGAGAGAGAGAGAGAGAGAGAGACAGACAGACAGACAGACAGACAGACACAGAGAGATATGGCTTGCCAAGGAACTTAAACCAGCATTGTTTTTAATCAACAAGACTGAAGTTTAAAATGATAATCTGACAAAATCATACATATTTGATATTTAATTTAGGAAGACAAAGTGTCATAGACAGGCATTTCAGTGTTACTCAAATCCTGACAAAACTATCCTCCATTGAAAAAACAAAACACACTTGCACGCTTAAAGTTACATTAAAAAAAAGAAGTTTACAGAAAAATTTAAAAGGAAATATCATGAGGTGTTCAAAAACAAGAAATACCCCTTAATGCAATAGCAATTTATGTACATATTTACAAAGAGAACACACCTCCCACTGAAAGAGATAGCTCTTACTTTTTTGTTACTACAGACTGCAGCCAATTCCATTTGACTAGGAAAATTCTATGTTAGTCTTAGGGGTGTGGGGTGGCACATGCCCCCAGCCGGGTTCATGGACAACGTACCGGTGGTGGTTCAGGTAGCAAAGTGCCCCCCCCCCCTTCCCCAACCATGACCAAATTGAAATGTTGTGCTTATAGAGGCAGGATTGAAAATTTGAAAATAACGTTTGGCAGCCCGTTTAAAGAGATTATTGCCAACAACCCATATCACTCATTTTTACAAGAGTGTGTGTTGTTTTATCTGATTGTACGACCTTACGTAAGAAGATTGGAAGCACTGTATCCACTCAGCCACTATGAGTGCTGAAGTAGTATCATAGAAAACGAGGTCTTTGTCTTTACTAAAGTCTGGTTATAGCCGGTCAAACATTTCAACTTCAAACACAATACACCTCTATGCTGCTCTCATCTGTATTTCTCTACTCTCCATTCTCCTACTCTTCTTTCCTGAACTGTCTCATCTAACTTGACACCCCCTCCCCCCCCCCCCGCGCTCCGTGTGGAGTGTCATGGATTAACCCCTTATGTTCGGCCAGCCACTCTCAGTGGCTCGTGGTCTGAACCCCTGTGTCGGTGTGCCGCTGACAGCAGCTCGGGCACATTCCTTTATGACGACTTCGATGTCAAATTACTCTTCGGCAACTGCCGAAAACAGGTCTCTTTTACCAGGAATTTTCATCACATGAAGACCTATCAAAATAGGTCACTTATTTTGATTTAATGACCAATTTAGAGGCGTACCGTACACGTCACTTTTAAATTTTGAACCAAAAAAGGGCCATGGCATAGTGGGTTTACCCCCCCCCCCATCCTGGAAATAAAGAGTTAAAACTAGTATCATTTACAATCCCGGCATAACATAAGCCACACTGTCTAGTGTCTGTGCGTGGACCGAGGGAGAGCACCCATCCATGCCGGGGATCTGCTGCGTGAGGCACAGCAAGGGGCCGCAGGCACACAGCAGCGAGTCCAGGAGAACTGACAGGCTGCCCTGGACTGCGATCATTCCCTGTGGGAGGAGAGAGGGAAAATATTTGTTAAAGCACAGCTCTATCTTTAGTGTCACAGGCACATAGTGGTCAAACTTGAGGTACTTTAAAAACAAAAAAACAAAGTGTCTCATGGCTGAACATAAAGCATCAATTACTTAGAGGAAACCTACTTTACTTTATGCTGCAAGTATGGCCCCAGGATCTCACACTGAAATAACTTTGAACAACACAAGACCACTGCGTTTTACAAATTTCCTCAAGAGTGGAGAGAAGGTGAGTTTTTGCTATTATGCTTCCATCAATACACAATAAATAAAAAAAAAAATTAGTAAAGTAGCCCTAAGAAAGATACTGAGCAACTGGGTTTGAAAGACTGGACCTTTAAAAAGTTGTTAAATATTTCTAATTCTGCTTAGAGCAATTTGAGTAATGCACCTGCTTTTTTAAGCTTCCCCATCAAAAGAGAAAAGTGCTCAGTTCAAATAAAAACGAAAATTTTTCTGAAAGGTCTTACCAAACATCTGAATAAAATTTAAAAAACACTCAAAACATTTTCAAAATGGGACAATTCACATTGATGACCAGGCCTCACCTTATGCTCTTGAAGCCTCATTCCAATGATACTGAGGGACTCGCCCAGCAACTTCAAGTGAGCAGCTACATCAATAGGCTCTATGCTGAAATTTTGCTGGAAAAAGAAAAACTCAAATAGGTTATTTATATTTCTAATAACATACAGTACTATGATGGACTGCAGCGCTAGCTTTCGAAGGCAGTAAAAGAAACGTAGCAGGGCTGATCTAGATAAAGATCTGGATAAATGGCAGTCATGAAAAAGTTACACAACCCATTAAATCTACATTAACACTGTCTTAATTATGCTTTCTGTTTTTTGTGGGTTTTTTTATAATCCACATGGAATTGGGAAGTGCATAATATTGTCCCTGCCACTCAAAAATAAAGATTTATCTACAATTTTTTGGGTTGCTCACAAGGTAAATCAATGTCAAACGTGGTTAAGATTTATTATTGCAACTGCAATGACATATTACGACAAATTCAGAAGGTGCTGCTGGACCATGTTTCGCCAGAACAGATGTATTGCATACAAGAAAAGTACTCAATCGAAAAGCAGCAAAGTGTATACTGGCGTTTACACATAACTCCTTAAACTAAAACGCACACATTGTGGAGCACTTCATGAAAAGCATGTTACTTTCTTATACCATAGATTAAATAACTTAACACACAGTTGGTTTTTAAAAAAAAATACCTTGGTAGGACTCTGGGGAGAGTCATCAGAAAGAGATCGGGGAGATTTCTGCAGGATCGTGGACAGCTTCAGTCCAGAGTTAAGCTGATTTATACCACCCATGGTTAGAGGACCGGCCGAGGTCAGCTGTGCCTCTTTTGAGACCTTGCCAGTAGAGATGAGATGGGAGCCTCTTTTCATCCTCCGCTGGGCCTTTCTTCTCCAAGACTTAAAGAAAACAGGGGTAAGATTATGAATTAGACATTATACCCTCGCGGCATTTTCTGTACATATACTAACCATTAACTCTTTATCTCAAAGTGGGGTAAACCCACTATTGGCGCTCATATGACCTTATGCAGTTGTGCTTGCCGAAAAACATTACTAAAATAAAACTAAAACCCACTATGGCGGGGCCTTCTTTTGGTACGAAATCTAAAAGTGACATATATGTCACTAAATTGGTCATTAAATCAAAACAAGCTGGGAGCAGTTTGCCAGAGATAAGGAGTTAATCTACTGATAATGCTGGTATCATCATCTTGACCTATCACTCGTGTGCACACCTGTGTGCCAGTGTTTTATTGAGGTCGATTTCCACTACGGGGATGATTCCATATTTCTATGATATCTTAAAAATAGTTTCTAAGATCTTTTCAAAGATATCTGTACTAAATATTCATACAAACCAACTCCTTTTAGAATTTACTCCCTTGATAACATTTTAAAAGGAAATGCCACTCAGAATTCAGACATACGAAATTATGGTGATTGCAAATGATTGTAAATGTATATCATTGCCATTCAGATCATTTTGAATCTGTTTCTTTAAAAGGGGATAAAGAAAATAAAAATGCCAACCTTCTGTTAAAATATATACATAGACAAAATTGACCATTAAAAAAGGAAAGAAGGGTGATGTCCTTCAGTAACCAGCAAATAATATCGATAGTCCTGTAAAGCAAAGAGTACTTGAACAAAAAAAACCCAACAAACTTATAGATAATGTTAAAAGGGTAGCCTGGAATCTACTTACAATCTTTTGTTTACTTGACAGAGTCTGCCACATCTCCCCTAGTTTTCTGCTGATTCCAGCAAATTCTGAGAAGACAGGAGATTTAAAAAAATAAAAATGAGATCGAGAAAACCTGGAAAACAAAATTGTGTCTGAAGGTTTGCAATAAAAATAGTTCTGCTACTCATTGGAAACACAGTCCTGTAAGACAATTTTGAACATTTAGTCAAGATATTTGAGATTGAAAGAGGTGGGGGTCGCCTGGTTTCACAGGTAAAATTAGCGAGAAAATGGCCGTCAAAGCTGTGACTTCAAAAGCTTGAGAATCCTTGGAAACTGAAAGCTTACATTTTTTGTGCCTTTTTAAATGTACATAAAAGTTGTTGAGCCAAAATACAAAAATTTGAGAAAACAAAAAAGAAAGAAAAAAAGAAAAAAAAGAAAAATCGATTTAAAAAAATGCCAACATCTTCAATTTCATTACTTTGACGAGTTCCTGATTTCACCACAATACCTCACATATGCACAATTTCTATCGTTACTTTCATCAGCCCCAAGAGAGCACAGCCCATAGACAAGATCACAGACATCCAGGCTCTTTGTCTTTTTCTCCAATTCAATTCCAACCGATCCAAGTTCCCTTAGGTCTGCCTTGAAGACTGCATCATGAGTTCCTTGAAATATCTCTTACCTTTTCCTCCCGACATTCCAGTTTTTGGATTTTTTATGAAGCTGGTGACCATCACATTTTTCCTCGTACCAGTCTGACGTAAATGTTTAAATTTTTAATCATAATTATCTTCAGCTGGGATCAAAATTTTCCAGTACATTGTTAATCTTATCTTATATCAGGTACATTAAGCAAAAAAAAAAGCAGAGTCTAACTACCAGAGTATGTACTCACCGATACCAGGATTTTCGTTGACAATTGTTGGCCTGTGAGTGTTACAGAACAACATGTAAGCTGTGGGGGCTCGCTTAGGCAACTTTTTCTCCGGCTTTTCCCCCTGAAACAATAGTGAGTTGAAATTTTTTTTTTCAATTTTCATACTTGCGATACTCTGAAAATTAATTTGTGTATCAATATAGTTGCCCAAAACATGCAATTTCTTTAGAGAAAAAAAATCTTTTGTCTCTCAGTTGAGGGTACAAAAAACAACAACAACCCTTTGCTCTGCAATAGGAAGGGATGGAAAAAACTTCTTGCAAAAACAAGCCAAATTTTCATTTGAAAAGTGGCAACGATAAAAGATGCATGGGGGGTCCACATCTTCCACTTGACACTTACAGCACCGTTGTTATTTCTGCTCAGTACCGCTGGCCAACTCGACCAGGCACACTAAACAAAGAACGGAACTTCTCCACCGAAGTAAATATCAAGGGAAATCACTCTATGTGATAGCTGAATCGTAGATGTAGCGCTTCAAATTTTATAAGCACGTTATTGAGCTATGAAGGGTTTTTTTTTTTACATTTTTCGTTCTACCATGGCTTAGGATCACTATTCTAGATCTAGAAATTCAGGTGGGCATGCCTACCCTCTCCAAACAGAATGAGAGTTTTATCATGATGTCTATATGTCGCAAAAGAGGTTTTTCTATAAAGTACATTTATTTCTGAATATATCTTGAAAATTTCATGTAATTCTGTCAATGACTTTTTTTTCAATGAATTTTTTTGTAATGTACCCGAATTATTTTGTTGGCCTCTAAATCAGTGCGGTACTCAAGGGTGTTTCATGACCCTGCAGAACTGTAAGTGTTAAAAGAATTTAACTTGTGTGTCCAGAGTTTAAAATAATGTATTAAATAAAATTGGCAATTAGTGGAATGAGAAAAAAACTCAGAGAACAAAAATGAGGCGATCTTGAAACCAAGTCAGAATAAAAATCAAAACTGTAAAGGAGCCTCCTGAGTCTTGAAGAGGAAAACACAGAAAGAAACGGGACACCCTATTCGCCGATTATACTGCAACGGAAATAATATAAAACTGTAGACCTTTCTTTTGCTCTTATGATTTCGACTACTCTTAAAATAAAAAACAGCCGAAGAACATCCACTGAAAAGCGCCAGCAGAGATAATCAGAACCACTAGAAGCAGATGTGTGTGTGTGTATGTGTGTTTTTTTGTCTATAAATTGTAAAAATTATTGTAGGTAAGAAAACTGTCAACCAGCTCGGATGGGCCAAAACCTCAACTGAAAGATAACATCATTGGGAAGTATCAATTATTCCCTCAAGCACTGCGTCATTCCCCAAAACAATTCTGTTTGGACACTCTTCCAGTAGAGTGACTGACAGAACATAGTTCTGAATTCATAATGCACCGTAACAGACCAAAAAAAAACAACAACCCCAGAGCCTTAACAAAGTAAAAAAACAACATTTGTGAGGCATTGCTGTGAAATCAGGCGCTCGTCAAAATAATGAAATTATAGAAACTGACATTTTTCTGCCAGTTTGGCAATTTTTATTGAACTTTTGTTTTTTGGCTTAACCCCTTCAATGCTGCAGGTAAAATAGCCCATCTGTGTTTACTACCAGTAAATCCTTCTTGTGCGGCAGATGTGTATACCTAGATCTAGTTCTAATCTTCTCTTCGAGCTAAAATCTGAATCAGACGCTTTCAAATAGCGGGAAAATGGAGGCAAACATAAAGGGAAGGTACTTCAATAACAATTACAAGAGTTTAGCACTAACTTCCCTTTTAATTCGTATCAAAACAACCTCTTTCATAGTCCCATATATAAATTCTATGAGCCATAGGCAAAGCGCTACACGGTACAGGCCTGTATATTCTATGAGCGCAGCAGCGAACAGGATAACACCATTGTTATCCAATTAAGAACATATTTCTGGGTGGATTTTACAGATAAATGTTGATTAAAGGCACAAAAAATGTAAGTTTACGATGTTCACAGACTATCAAGCTATGGTAATAACCAAACTTTGGCGGCCATTTTCTCGTTAATTTTACCTTTGAAACCAGGCGACCCCATCTTCTTCAATCTCAAATATCTTGACTTCCATTCAAGAAATATGGGCATTTTTTTCACAGATAGCAAGACAAGCGAACAAGCTTCAATATGATACCAATAACTCCACCAGCTCAAAAATTGACGAGCGCCTGATTCCACCACGTCGCGGCACGTTTAGAAAAATACAAAAAAATAGAGCCAATTTTTCTCTTACCTTTGAGGGTGATAATTTCCCTTTTCCAGATGGAGCTGAAATGAGATCAAGTAAACAGGATGAAGAGACCAAATAAAAAGGGAAATGAGGACATTAAAGCAAACTTAATTATTTCATTAACAGAGGGACATCATCATACTTTAAATCTAATCAACTTTTTACGCACAATTCATTTTGAAATCACAGCTTAGTCCACAAACAGAGTGGAATAAGCACACACACACACACAAGAAAAGGCACAGACTCAATTTATAAGAATAGAAAAAAAATAACCTTCGTCCCTAACACGAGTCAGTGGTCATTGCAAACCTTCTCCACAATGTCATACAGACCTACCTTTTTTCTTCAACACTGTCTTTTTTCTCTTCTTTTCCGTTTCAGCTATGACCAAGTTGACCTCATCTTCTTCACCATCCTCTTCAAATGACAGTTCAGACTTAACTGCCGAGTCCGAAGGGCTGTCCCTGCGGTATTCAAATATTGATACTTAGAATCAGAAAAGAGCGTAGGCCTTAATGATCCCACAAATCATATCCCTGAACAAAGCTGATGAAGATTGAAGAACCATTGCATGTTTACAGACCTGCCACTCTATGAAATCTAAAAATCAGGATTTTTGAGTAAAAAAAATCAGGATCTGGTGAAAAAAATCGGGATCAACGGCAAATCAGTCATAAGGGACACTGGGGAAGGAGGGGGGTCTCCTGGTTCCCTTGAGGCAAGTATACAAAACAAAACTTTTGCGGGAATAAGTTCACGTTTGGGCCTCTAAATAGAGGGAAAACTGAAAGACAGCATATATGTACTCGAGTCGAAGTTGGATAGACTGGGGGAGCACAGGTTGCAACAATGCTGAAACTCTCGTAGTCTTGAAAATAGCTGGCAAATAACTCTAATCATCCATGCAAAAAGCCCGCGTTTTCATACAATAACAACGTTTGACTTCCATCGCATATACAATCAAGGCACCCCCCCCCCCCCCAAAAAAAAAAGATCGCGCGAAGGTTGTTCATTTATTTATTTTTTCTTATTCCTTTCCCCTCAGTTAGTATCTGTATCACGGCACGCGCAATAAGCCCAAGTGAAAAAAAAATACACCCCTCCCTCCCCCGATCGTCCACACTGGTTAAGTCCCGAAAAACACCTCGACCGGTGTGAATGAACTTCGTTGTCCTCCACTACTAACGGTCCCCGACACACACACTATTCACACGTACGAGATCAGCTAGGTCACGTGATGCGAATGAGCGTTTGAAAGTTTCACTGACAGGTCTTGATGATGGGCCCGACTAACCAGCACTCAGACCGAGCTTGCTTTTAAAGCAACGGCAGAACAACGAATATATTATTCTTAGGCTAAGTCATAATTGTTACAGTAATCAGGACACCATCGGAGAATTCCGGGTTATAAAAGCGAAAGTATATCTTAAGCGTGTCCAAGTCTGAATTCAAAATCGATACTTCGCCGATTTTAGTTGAAATAACGTGCGTGAGTCGTTTACTAGATTCGGCATAGATGCCTTAGAAAAGAGCGTTCCAAGTTCCTGTCGATAAAAAGTTCAATCGGTGCTTTCAAGCAAAAGAAATTGCAGAACTTTCTATATTTTTTTCTCAGAATCGGATGCAACAGACGCAACGACAAAAAATCAGGATACTGGCGATCGAAATCGGGAAAATCGGGATCCTTGAGATTTGGGACAAAAAATCGGGATATCCCGGTTAAATCGGGATGAGTGGCAGGTCTGATGTTTTTATGCCATAATTCCCTCAGCCATTCCTACCTGAGGACATGCATGTAAATTAATTTTTATTCAGATTTAATTACTCTTTCTCTTGCAATTTTCCTAAAGGTTAGACATATTTTTAAAAAAAGCAGTGTCACTTGGTGCAAAGGTAGGCTACTTGCCCTTAATCAACAAAGTCAAAAAGAGTACGTTCAACATAGCAACAAAGTACAGCAGACCAGCACTAAACATAGCGAATAACTTTTGGAAGCATGAACATAACAGTAGATGAATAAATAATCCGTGAAAGAGTGTTTCCCACTAGAAGAAGCCTGTCATCAGAACTTGACAAACCAGCAGCCACTGTAAGTGGCCAGACATTGGGAAATAATTAATAGTAGGACTAAAAAGACAATACAATTGACAAAATATCTCTTTGTGAGTCAGGTGATTATATATACACAATCAAAACAAAATTATTTCATATGTTAAAAAAGAAAAAAGCAAAAAAAGCAACAACCCCCCCTTCCCCCTCCCCCAGACCTTAACCTAACCTTTGTAACATCCACTGCTGTTGTAAACGGACCAAGACAAATTTTCCCCAGCGAGATGAATAAAGATTGTCATTGTCAACCAAGAGAAAAATAATATTTGATGAATCAGTAATTTCTTCACGATTATTCTATTGAATAATTCAAACGAAGACTAAAATGTACAAATTTCAAACTGCTAAAAGCCAACAGGTATAAAGATTACCCAGATAACAAGGGAGATGCTGCTTTGGGTTTTTTCTTCGGTTTCTGGCTCGCTTTCTGCACAGCTACACCGGAGGAAACAGCTTGTCCGGCCAGGGGACCTTGAGACGCAACTAAAATGACATCATGACAGAATTATAATCAGAAAAAAAAAATCAAAAGATTATTCTCTGAAATTCAATCAACGCAACACATGATGTGATTAAATCCGAACCCCCAGGCCAACCCTCCCACTCACTTTGAGAAATTAACATTTTATACATTCATTTTTTTATTTTAGCAGACAAAACCGTTTCTTTTAAGCAACCAATACTAACACTTCAAGTTATCTTTTTGTTGTGGGTTCACTTAACAAAACTTCTCCCAACTAACATTGTGGCATGCTCCATTTTGTTATCACTCGAGGCACTTGCAATTTATAAGTATAACATTTATGTGGAACACATCAGCAATTTCAATAAAAGCACAATAGAACAAGACCCAAAAAAAGACATATGTAGTATATACAAAGGACACATTCTGAACAACAGTAGCTGACAAATAAAACATAAAGTGTACAGTGTACCTTAGTAAAAAAAAAGCATATAAGATAAATACAAAAGGAAGAATAAAAATTAGACAACTGCTTTTTAAAACAACCCAACATACCTAGTGCAGCAAGATTTGGCATCTGTTTTGCTGCAGAAATCGCGTCTTGTATCAGCTTTTCTTTCTTCTTTACCAGTTTCTTTGGGGGGTTTTTCTTTGCTGGTTTCTTGACATCTACATCGCTGTCCGACCCAGGGCCACTGAGCATTCCAAAAGAAACATCTGAGGCGAAGCTGTCGATTGTCGTTGTCTCCTGCTTTGCCTTTTTAGACTTTTTCTGCTTTGGCTGCTTCGGTAGCTCTGTGTTAGCTTGTGGGGAGGCCAGGGACACAAGTGCGGTAGACGGGTCTGAACTGGCAAATATTTTCATCTTGAGACCTGCCGCCGGTAGGTCCAAACCAGACAGATCAGACTCGGAGAAGGACAAGTCCTCTGATGCAGACAAAGTCTCTGCTTTTACTTTCTTAGCCTTAGCTTTCGGTTTTGGTGTGGCTTTCTCTAGTTTCTCTTGAGGAGCCTTTTTCTTGCTTCCTTTTTTACCAGTCGATATCGCCTCGGGCGTACTTGCTGCACCTGCGGGGGTCAGTTTTGTGAGTGCATTGGTGCTGACAGCAGGCTTTGAGCCACTGGAGGGAGAGCTTAACAGGTACTTGATGACACTTTTTCCATCCTCCTTCCCTCCAGAGGCCTGATCCATCACTCCTGCCTCAGAGGAACTCTCAGTCTTCACTCCTGAAGATGTGATTGTGATGTTTGTCACCCCCTGTAAAATAAAATCACAAGAAAAATTTCACGATTTAAAACAGCAGTATCAATTTAATATAATAGAATTATTGTCATTATTTGTACAACAGTGACTTAAAGCCAATGTTCTATTTACATTCCTTATTTCTTAGATAAAAAAGACAACAGATGACTGAACTTGATCGACTAAAGCAGCCATCGTCCTGTAAAAGGGTAAAATAAATAGTAAAAGAGTCATTTATATAAGCATAAGAAAATACAAAAAGAAAAAATATTTGGAACAATAGACTTTCATTTTGACTTTTTATCTAAATTTCATTAAAAATTAGCAAAACCTTAGAATGTAATGAAAGCATTTGAACAATGATTTGCTCTTTCATAAAAGCTTGTCTTAGACAAAATGTAGTGAAGGTAAAAGATATGAAGAGTGTGTAACGTAAGATGAAGAAGTACATGGTAACACGAGAAACAACTAGCACAATCACCAAACCCCAGTGCGGAGCAGCAGACCAAACTGTGAAACACATCCTCTAGCAGTGTAAGAAACATAGAGCCCTGAGCAGGAACTGCAGCCAACCCAATTAGCACTACAGGAAAAGTTATATGGGCCAACAGAAAAACTGAGCAGGAGGGCCCAGCATATGATAGATTACGGTTTTGTTTGTTTGTTTGTTTGTTTCAATAAAGAGAAAAACACTGACAAAATAAGGGTCATTTAGTGTTGAAAAAAGGTATGACAGACAGTCAAACATGAATAAGAGAGGGAAAGTAAAAATGTAGGAGGCATATTATAAGATTCTCATAAATTTCGTAACCACATTCTACTCAAGTCTACTCATGAAGCATTATCAACAGATCAGCCACACTCACAGGAGCAGTCAACAGGCTGTTTGGTGGCAGCGACACAAGATTTTGTTTGACAGGCTGACCGGGCGAGGTCTGAGTCTCCAACTTGAAAGCCACTTTCTGCGTCTTTGTTGAAACTGGAGTTGTCTCGATGGGCACTAAGCCAGCAGCCTTTGTGGTTTTCGTCTTCTTGGTTGAGCCTGACGGCCGTTCAGGAACTGGCTCTGGCTCTTCAGGTAAACTGGGAAAACCTGGTTGTGCTCCTTTTGGTGTTTTCCCTTTCTTTGTTGTGTGGTGGGTCTTTTCTGCTTGCTCAAACTCTTCCATCTCCAAAACTTTTGCAGACTTTTTACGGACCTGTCAAACAGAAAATTGAAACGAAATGATATAAAATGAAAAAATGGAAAGAAACATCATCTATCAAAATGAGAGAGAAAATCGGACTGACTGACTGACACATGATAATATAAGACACACTCGTGAAGATGGCAGATTTAATAATTGACTTGACACCTCAAAGAAAACGAAGCTGAAAAACCAATACTTCTAAAAATGTAATTCTAAGCAGAACAATATCATGTAGTTGGTGATTATTTCTGGATTAAACAGTCTTTATAAAAATGGAATCTTCTGTTTAAAGGATCATCATGACTATCTTCTAAATTGATCAAAATTTCAAAAAGATAGCGTCTATTCTCTTTGATGTTGGCAAAATCATTTGGAACAAAAAGCTCATTTACAAACTATTTGCATCATGAATAAAAACTTCCTCACTAAGCTGCTTTTATCAACCAATAGTACTAAATGAACAGTAAGAAAAAAGGCTACAAAGAGGAAGCATTTTGTGCACTTTTGGACTGCTTACCCTGCCAGTTCTTCCGCCTCCACTGTCATCGGGGTCATCTCTAAACATCTTTGCCGGAGGTCCTGCTGAGCAATGAAAATAAAAATTAAATGATAGTGGGCTCCTTAATTTAATTAACTTGTCAATAAAGAGTTGAAGTTCTTATAAAAAATTAGATGCTAAGTATACAAATGATGTCCAACTATATGAAATCCGTAACAAGCGGACCACCTCAACAAACACAAGAAAGAATTTAGACCTCTAGAACCCTGACCCCACCCCTCTAACCCAAATCCTCTACATAGTCTACTCTATAGTCTATAGGCCAACACTCTATTTCATAGAGGTCGCTCGTTACGGAATTCCTCCCAAAAAATCTAAGACATGGTTTTTCTTTCCTGGTCTATTTAATTGAGTCACACCACTGCTACTGCTTTCAAATAACTACTGTGAAATATTATCTTTCCTGAATTGTCTGTTCTTCTAGCTTTTAGTTCATGTACGGAACAGTACTCTCTCTAATTGACACTCAATTCAATGCTGAAAGGAAGGACTTGGCTATCCTCACCAGGGGTGAGAACAGCCGGTGTCTCGCTATTCTCACCCCCCCCCCTCATGCCTTTGAATGTGCCTATCAACCGAAAGGGTTTTGGTTTACAGTAGGCTTATAGTATAGCACAGAAACACACAGAATAGACAGCTCAGAGAATAAGTTGAGCAGGCCTAGATTCTAGACATGATGTTTCAGGTTTAGTTATTTAAAGGGTTGGGTGAAAGCCATTTCACACCATGATCAGCAAAAAACATTGAATCCCCTCCCCCAAATAAAAAAAAACCCACCCAAAAAACGAGCAATGCTTATGATGCAAGAACGAAAGGTCAAGAACAGAACATTTTGGTGTTTTTTTCTGATGTACTCATTCTCTTAAATTATAGTTTTATTTTAAGAAGTCTGTTTGATAAAAAAAACAAATTAAGTCTATAGTCTATGGCAATGGTCAGCAGTTGGCAAACATGAGGAAACAAGCACTCACGAGTCATTTCCCAACCACATACGGTAGGCCACCTAGGGCCTAGGAGATTTTATCGGCCTGCGAGAGGTCAGGAGTGAGTCCTCACTTCATGTCCACTCCAGGGTGGGGGTGAGACATTGGGTCATGAGCTATTCTAACCAGAATATACACAAGGCCAGCTCTATTCCGACTCCAGTCCGATCAGACTTTTTATCTATTCAGACTTGAGTCCGAATATACTTTATCTATTCAGACTCAGGTCTGAAAATTTTTTAAATTTATATTCGGACTCAGCTTCTCTAAGTGAGTTTATAAAACGAAGTGTTAAGTACGGCTAGACTGCCAGTCTAGCCGTACTTAGATCTGGGTTTGGCCCAACTGTAAAGTACACAGGTCTCATTAGATCTAGATTTAGTAATTATTCAGGTTCAAATACATGCAAGTCAGTAAGGCACCTTTTGGTTTTGTCTGAAATACAAATACTTTAGGCAATGCGAACTAAAAATTTCATTTACAATTCAACCATCAATATTAAGTACG